CTCTCCCAACAAGGGATTGCTTCCTTCTGGACCTTTCCTAAGTGTTTGATGAAGTTGGCGCTCAGATGAATTAGGAGATTGGCCTAGAATTCCTTTTTCTCCCTGCAGGTTCCGCATGAAGCTATTGAACTGAGCACTCATCGTGACCATGAAATTCTTCATTTCTTCCTTTAGTTCAACATTGTTTGCTTCCACCAGAGCCTTCATATCCACGTAGTTAGATTCCATCTTTTCTTCCAAGGCTTGGCGTTCGATTGTACTGGATTCGAGGATAGCTTGGATTTTCGCATCTTGCTTCTTTAGCGATTCCTCAAATCCCTTCATTCTGGTGCCTTCCGCCATTGTTGCTTAAATTGGAGCTTGCAATTCCGAGGAAGGCAAGCTCTGATACCAAGTGTAATGGTTGAGGATTGGGGGATTGGTTGACTCAGCTAAGGAACTGAAGTATAGAAGGAGATGGAGAGAAGGGTTGAGAGAAAAAGGGGAGAAGCAGACTGAATAGAAGAAGCGGGAAAGTTGTATTCTCAATGATCAAATATTGCTTAACGCTTTACATTAGCATTGGCCTATTAATAGAAAGCTTCCTCACTAACTAATCAATAACCAACTTCTGCAAGTGGTAGCTGTTATAACAATTTCCGCAAGGTAGTATTTGGCTAACAGAATTTGGTTAACTATTTGGTCTTATTTCCTGCGGAATCATTACAGCACCACAGAATTTGTGGTTCAGAAATCCCAACTAAGTTGGGAAGGGACTTGTCAATTGGCACTACAAGATAAAATGGATACTTCAACGAGAGAATCCCTGGAGTCACTGATACCTGGAATGAGATTCTGTACAATATTTTTCTCTAGAATGATTCATGTTATAGCAGACAACTAATTCCCAGGTCCTTATTCCTAGTTGAATTCATTACTGTGATGAGGACATTAGGAAATTTAGGTAGAGTTGCTATGTCTAACATTAATTAGAAGACATGACATATGATTGCATGCATCGAAATCTGGCAAACTGATCAAAATTTAGTTTTTAGAGTAAGTAATGCATGATAAATTGCAAGCTTGGGATTTCTGGACTTCTAAATGCTTAATGTTATCTTAATCCTTTCCTCTAACTAGTATTTTTTTGCTGTCATTTTGCACTTAATGAGATCTGAATTTTTTTTCTATTCTTTGGTGCAATGAATATTAGGTACTTGTTCAAATGGAAGGAGAAGAAGAGCACAATGTTGAGCGAGTTTCATCAACAGATTCTATACCTGAAAGTGGAGAGGCTACCGGAGAAAGTTCAGCCAAGCGAATTAGGAGGCAAACATCAATTGCTTGGGATGGTTTTGATACTGTAGCAGTGACTGCTGATGGAAGGAAAAAAATTAAGTGTAAATGGTGTGCACAAACATATTTATTAAAAGGTAATTCTGGAACATCTAATATGCTCAAGCATTTTGAATCTTGCAAGTGGAGAGAGTTGAAGAATACAAGCTTTGGGGCTCCTTTGGATCAACATATGTATCGTGAAAAAATTGCAGTTGCTATTATAAAACACAATTACCCTTTTGAATTTGTGGAACATGAGGGCATTCAAGATCTGCATAACTTCTTATGTGAAGAGGTAAAACCTGTATCAAGAAACACAATCAAAGCAGATGTTGTGAGAATGTACTCGAGAGAAAAAGAAACTCTTAAACATGCCTTAGAGAATGTGAAGAGTAGAATATGTTTGACATTCGATCTATGGAGTTCATCCACTACAGATGGTTACTTGGCACTTACGGCTCATTATATTGATGAAAATTGGGTGCTCCAAAAACGGATATTGAATTTCCGTCATATTCCTCCACCACATAATGGTGTCTCTTTGGCAACAGGGGTAATGGATTTACTCAGAGAATGGGGAATTGAAAAGAAAATTTTCTCATTGACTATGGATAATGCAGCCTACAATGATGTTTTGGTGAATGTTTTGAAGCGTCATTTGAAGATTGCTGGTCCGTTGGTGTGTGATGGAGAATTCTTTCATGTACGTTGTGGAGCACACATTCTAAACTTGATAGTAAAAGCAGGTTTAGAAATAGTTGAGCAACCTCTTTCAAAAATACGGGAATCTGTCAAGTATGTTCGGTCAAGTGAAGCAAGAAAAGTCAAAGTTGCTGAATGCATTGCTAGAGTCTCTATCAATTGTAAAAAGAAAGTTCGACAAGATATTTCAATAAGATGGAATTCAACATATCTTATGTGTGAATCTGCTTTGGAGCATCGAGGAACATTTCAAGAATTGCAGTTAGTTGATCCAAATTATAAATGGTTTCCAACAGATGAATAGTGGAAAAAGGTTCATCGCATATCTCTGTTTTTAAAACCGTTTTATGATATCACTACATTGTTTTCTGGATCTCATTATCCTACTGCTAATTTATATTTTCATGGGGTTTGGAAAATTCAGCAGTTGATTTGTGAAGAAATGCATAGTCAAGATGATGATTTTGTGCAAATGGCTATGAAAATGCATGATAAATTTAACAAATATTGGGAGTGTTACAGTTTTGTTTTGAGTTTTGCTGTGATATTGGATCCACGTTTTAAGTTGCAATGGGTAGAATTTTGTTTGACAAAGATATACCCGAGAACTTTTTCTACACGTGTGAGGGAGATTCGTGAGAAACTGCATTTGATGTTTGATGATTATATGCAATTATATCCCTCAGTTATGGCAGATTCATCACAAGTAGCATCTTTTAGTGAGGGAGTTTCTTCTAATCTTGTTGATGAAATAGATGAGTTTACCATGTATGAAAGTGAACACTATAATTTGAACAGGAATACATCACAGTTGGATTTGTATTTAAATGAGAATAGGCTTCCAGCAAAAGAAGATTTGGATGTTCTTCAATTTTGGAAAGAAAATAGAAATCGATATCCAGTGATTTCATTGATGGCACAAGACATTTTGAGTATTCCTATTACTACAGTGGCTTCAGAGTCCGCTTTCAGCGTTGGCGGTCGGATTATCAACAAATATCGTAGTACCATCTTGCCAGAGAATGTAGAAGCTTTAATATGCACTAAAGATTGGTTATATGGTGCAAAATGTAAGTATTTTATATATTCTTTATTTTGTTAAAAATTTCTTTTACTGCACATAATATTTACGGTAGTTAAATTATTATTTTTCTTTATTTAGAAATGACGTATTTGCTGTTTTATGATATTAATATAGTTTCACAAGAAAATGCCGAGAAAGAAGCTGCATTAATTACAGATTTTGCTCCATTAGTTACAAAACTTCTTGGCTCCAATAGGGAGGTTTACGAAGAGGAAATCTAGTCATGTGACTTATTGGATTGCTCAAAGGTAATATGGTTACTGATTTATGAAGCAATTAAGTATTTTATTAGAGTGCCTTCATGGATGATTGGATGGGATTGTAGACTCCTAGCTGTTGCTTATTTGGTATGGTTTCTAGTTTTGCAGCTTCTTGATGGGGCCCTTTGTTCGTGTCTTCTTTCACTCCTTAGGGACTAGTATTCACTGCCCTTGCTGGACTAAAAGAGGAGCTGTGTTTTGGGAAGGTTATGATCTATAGCACTACAAATTTCTCAGTGGCAGCATCATATGCTTCCTAGGCCATGTTGTGTGTAATTTTTTAGCATGCATACTTTCTCTGCACTTTTGTTTAGACCATATCTCTACCAAGAAATTTTAATCATATTAGCATTTCTTTATAGCATCCTCTAATCACTTTTTCTGTTTGTTCTTATTTCTTGCAAACTTTTGTGTTTAAATCTAATTTTTGTGAACTTTTTTTAATGCCGAAGTTAAAGGAGTATTTAGCTCATATGCACTACAGCTGAAATCAAGTACTTGAGCTGTAATGCATTTCTGAATTATGACAAGTAGTTGGAATTGCATACATAAATTGTAAAGCATTTAACTTCTGCATTCATATGCTTCCTTTGCCCGCTGCAGGTACCATGCCATTACCAGTGCTTACTACAGAGGAGCTGTTGGTGCTTTACTCGTGTATGATGTCACTAGACGTTCTACCTTTGAGAATGTTGAGAGGTAGTTTGAGGGAATTGAGAGATCATACTGACCCTAATGTTGTAGTTATGCTCATTGGAAACAAATATGATCTTCGACATCTTGTAGCAGTTTCAACTGAGGATGGTAAAGCTTTAGCAGAGAGGAAGAGCCTCTTTTTTCATGGAGACATCTGCACTGGAAGCAACCAAAGTGGAAAATGCATTTGCTGAAGTCCTGACACAAATATACCGCATTGTGAGTAGGAAGGCAGTCGAGGCCATTGATGAAGGTACTCCTTCATCTGTTCCTCCTAAAGGAGAGACAATCAATATCAAAGATGAGGGATCTTCTTGGAAGAGATTGGATGCTGTTCAAGCTAGAGCTTGCACGGAAATCTTCAAGGACAATGGCTCTTGCTGCATAAGTCTTGTACATTACATCGTTCAACCAGCAATATTGTTCATTTGATTGTCCTCTTTGTCTTGGATCATATAAGATGACAGTTACATGGAAATACTTTAGTATTTTCATGAAATTCTTACTTGGTAGGATCAGGAATGAGTATAGTTACTTGGTAATAAAAAAAAAAAAAAAAAAGTAACCAAAATATATAAATGGATTATAAATGGATAATTGGATTTTATATAATCCATTTAGATCCATTTATTAAATTTCATCCACCATCCATTAAGTCAAAACCAATTATGAACCATTTATCCATATTGCCACCTCTAGCCATGACCATTCAAAATTTCCAAGCATGTAAAAATGCACGCCCAGTGGGACTCGAACCCACAATCGCCTGATTAGAAGTCAGACGCCTTATCCATTAGGCCATGGGCGCTTCCTTGTTTCGTGGCGGGAAGAATTACGCTACTATGATTAGATGTTTGACAAATGCCAATTATTCACTTGCCCAGCCCAATCGACACTCCTAGAATAAATTGGCCTATCATCCATAATTCAAAGATATTCCACATTTTGTACAGACTGCTAATTTCACTGCAGGCTTAGACTATAAAAACACCACCAGAAATCAAAGACATTTCAGCCACGAATCAGAGTTGAGACAACTTGACATCCATGGCTGAAGACGGCAAATTACACATAGTAATGTTTCCTTGGCTGGCCTTCGGCCACATGATCCCATACTTAGAGCTCTCCAAGCTCATAGCTAAAAGGGGTCACAAGGTTTCCTTCCTTTCCACCCCAAGAAACATCGATCGCCTCCCAAAACCACCTCCAAATCTAACCCGTCATCTGAAATTTGTCAAAATTCCCTTACCCCATATCGAAAATCTCCCTGAAAATGCAGAGGCCACTACTGATCTACCCTACAACAAAGTCAAGTACCTCAAACTAGCCTGTGACGGCCTTCAACAACCCATATCTGAATTTCTTCAACAAACTTGTCCTGATTGGGTCCTCTTCGATTTCGCTCCTTATTGGATACCATCTGTTGCATCTAAGCTGAACATCCGTACAGCTTTTTTCAGTATCTATACTGCGCCATTTTTGGGCTTTTGCGGCCCCGTCGAAGTGATGAAGGGCAATGGAGAAGACAGGAAAACGCCCCAGGATTTCACTGTGAAACCCAAATGGGTTTCTTTTGAGACGAACATTGCTTTTAAGTTGTTTGAGATTTCGCGACTCGTTGACAGTTTGATCGGGGATGAAGAGCCCATCTCCGACATATTCCGGGGCGGATCTTCGATTGAAAACTGCGATTTCTTGGCTATAAGGAGCTGTTCTGAGTTTGAACCCGAATGGTTACAGCTTATGGAGGAGATTTATCAGAAGCCGGTGATTCCGGTCGGTCAACTGCCGACCACCGGCAACAATGATGCAGATGAGGGAAAAGATGAAGCATGGAGACCTATAAAAGAGTGGCTTGACAAACAAGAAAGAGAGTCAGTTGTTTATGTAGCATTCGGGAGCGAGGCGAAACCGAGTCAAGCTGAACTCAATGAAATTTCTCTAGGTTTGGAGCTGTCTGGTTTGCCATTTTTCTGGGTTTTGCGGACGAAACGGGGTGGTGAAGATACTGAGGTGATTGAGCTGCCTGAAGGATTTGAGGACCGGACCAAGGATCGGGGGGTGGTTTGTGCCAGTTGGGCGCCACAGTTGAAGATACTGAGTCACGACTCAGTGGGTGGGTTCTTGACTCACTCGGGTTGGAGTTCGGTTGTGGAGGCTATTCAGTTTGAGAAGGCTCTTATTTTGCTGACAATGTTGGCTGACCAAGGAATAAATGCGAGGGTCTTGGAGGAGAAAAAGATGGGGTATCCGATTCCTAGAGATGACTCGGACGGGTCATTTACGAGGGACTCGGTGGCCGAGTCACTCAGGCTGGTGATGATTGAGGATGAGGGAAAGATATACAGGGACAAAAGTAAGGAGATGAGGAGATTATTTTGTGATGAGAGTCGGCAAGATGGCTACGTTGAGACTTTGTTGAACTTTCTTCAAAGCTACAAAAGTGCAAAAGAAGAGAAATAAATTTGGACTATCTGTAAAGTTTCTTTGCAGTACTATGATTGGAAGGGGAAAGAGTTGAATGAATTCTTGCAATTGTCCTATATCAAAGTGAATTTTAATTTCGAAAATGAAATGTTCACATTCTCATGTTTATTGGTATCCTTTTAGAATGGTTAATCATGTTAAAAATAAGAACAGTCTAATTTTAACTCGATTGCAACGCGAAATGAAATTGAATTATACAAATTGCTATAAAAGAGTACTATGAATAAATTTGATAGTGGTAAACTGTTAATGTCAATTCCTGGCTTCTTTTTTTTTCTTTGGAGTGTTTATTCAATCTGTGATGATCAGAATTACCATTCACATACGTTCATGTAAGTTTTCCAACATAAGACATGAGCTGACATGATGTGGATCATTGAGCAAAAGCAAAACAACTTAATTTGCTAGAACAATGTTGCTTTTTGTTTTTCGTGTTAAAAATTGCAATTTGATTGACCTTTGCAATAGTTGTTATAGTTGTGGAGATTCTCTTTTTTGGTCATAAGGAGGCCTAACGGCCATTACATATTAATTGAACGATGATAGGATGCTCACATCAATTTTGCAACTAGAACAGATTTAACTGGATGAGGAGGATCAAGAAATAACGTAATCCTTGATTTTAAGTTTTTTTTTCGAAGGAATTCTTGATTTTAAGTTCGAGCTCATTTTCGCTAAAAGATCAATAACAACTATTGCCTTCTTCCCCCCCCCCCCCCCCCACATCCAATAAAAGTATAATGTCAATTCTGGTTGTGTAACTCTCTAATTTTTTCAAATACAAGTTGGTTGGTTCAGTTGATAAAGACGGATCATTTTTTTTATTAAAAATAAGTCACGTGTTCAAATCTCACTGTTAATATGCAAGCTGTGTTGGTAGACGATGATCCGTAAAAATTTGACCTATGATTTTGAAAGCATATCTTAATCCATGACAGTAGCCAGAATCCAATCCATCCAAACTTTTTCAATTGCCAAAAAAAAAATCTCTAATCTTCCATATAAGTTGAAAAGCTTGTGTCTTCCATACAAAGTCGACCAGCTTGTGACAGGAAGAAGGCCCAAGGTTCATCAGTGCAAGGAGTTCTCAATAATATTTAGATAATCAGGCAGCCCGACCCAGTTACACAGCCCACACTAGCCAGCTGACCGTGGCACGTACCTGAAAACGATTGTGCATTTAAGGATTTTATGCACAGTAAAATTAGGACAAAAAGGTAAAAATTAAATTTCATGTCCATTGTACTGGGTGCCAAATTACCAAAAATTGCACTTAAAAAATACTACTATCAATGAATATATGTACTTTAGAAGTATTCTTTAACCATTAGAATTTGTCTCGTGAATTATGGGTAAACCTTGAATCTATCTCAAATTGGTAATCCGAATTTTCGTACTTTCATTTCTCCCTCCGTTTTTCCCTGTATCAAAGAACCAAAGTACAAAAAGTACAATCCCAGTTAACCATATATGTTAGGGTATAAGACAACTAGATGTCATGCATGGGATAAACTACTAGAAGTAATACCGCATTTGCATGGAAATCCCATTATTTAGTGACTGATTTTCAGTATTTCTAGACACATTTACTGATGGACTATGTTCACGCTGAAGAAGCCACAAAGTTTGTTTGAACATATGGTCCGTTTATATTGCAGATTATCTGAAAAATTTTCTACTATTTACATTTTTCGATTTTGCAGTATGATATATATGAAATAAAAAATATTAATTAAAAAACCTATTTAGAGTAGGAGTATAATTGAGTCGAGTTGAGTTTTTGTCAAACTTTTAAAAGCTAAGTTTAAATTTGAGCTCCACTTTATTTTACCTAACTCGAATTCGAAAGCTTTATTAAGTTTAATCAAACTCAATCGAGTTCATGTAATGTAAATTAATATTTTATATAATTCTAAAGAAGGGGTATACTCACTAAGGCTCATCGAAGATCTAGTATCACTTATTCATGCTCGAATTCGGTTGGAATTACCCGTTAATAAAGTAGTTCGAACGCAACTCGAATTTGAATTTCTCACTTACATTCTTTTTTTCTGTACCACTCAACCTATCTCTTCTTCACAAATTCGAACCTAAATTAAATAGTTGCTCGAGTTGCTCTCGAAGCTTGTGTCTCGTGGCGCACTTGGCTTGCACCCCTAGTTTGGGGAATAACAAAACAAAATTATTCTGATGGAAAATTTGCCAAATTGGTCCCTAACATTTACCAAAAATACTTTTTGAGTCCCTAACATATAAAATCAGCCAAAATTGTTCCTCACATTTAAATTGTGATCCAATTTGGTCATAATGCTCGTTTTTGCTCATTTCTCCGGCTAAAAATAGCACGTCTCTCTCACGTGGTCATATTTTTAGAGGCAAAATTAGAAAACACATTTCACTACCGGTTGAAAAAAGCCATCTTTCCTTCATCTAATTGCCTCACTAACCCATTGAAATTGAAGAAGGAAAACACAGTAGTAAGAAATTGGGATAAAGAAGCTAACCTTTGAAGAGTAAAATGGAGGAGGTGCAAGGAAATTTATTCTTTGGAAGGGTGCAAGGAAATCTCCTTGGAAGGGTGCAAGAGGGAACAAGTGTTCAAGGAAATGGAATCTCAAATTTCTCAACTGTTACACAGGGAGATTGATCTTGTTGATCCTCAAGTCCGAGAAACTTATATCCATGTCCTGATAGCTTCAAAGTTATCAAGATCCTCACACACTTTAGCGCTGGAGAAGAATAAGCATCTATTGGCCAAATTTATTTATTGTCTCCTGTATAATGTTGTGGAGCTACAAGAACATTTTCTAAGTTTCTCAGTTCTGGTGAAGGATCAAATGCTAATACTCCACGAGGGAGTAAGGTTCCTGAGAGTTCTCTTCAGGCAACAGCAAGAGAAATTCGACGAGCTACATGATCAAATGAAGGATCTGATTGGATTTGTGGCATGTGATGCAGGAATTGTGATTTTATCCCTTTCAGCAATAGAAATGAAAGAAGATTTGGCCAAGGAAACAGATCTTGCACTTTTTCATCTGGTCAAAGTGCTCAAGTTCATTATGGCAAAATTACACTTCCAAGTTATGCTTGTTAATTAGGGGATGCAATTTAGGGTTTCTTGAAACTGTAATTTGAGGAAGAAATATGAAAAGGGGGTGGTGGTCCCTTATCCTTTTACTTTCAACCGGTAATGAAATGGGTTTTTCAATTTTGCTCCTAAAAATATGACCACGTGAGGGAGACGTGTTATTTTTAGCCGGAGAAATGAGCAAAAACAAGCATTAGGATCAAATTGGATCACAATTTAAATATGAAGGATAATTTTGGCTGATTTTATATGTTAGGGACTAAAAAAGTATTTTTGGTAAATGTTAGAGACCAATTTGGCAAATTTCCGTTTCTGATTAGTCAAATTTCCAAACGGAGGCATCTGCCTTGTCAAATTGATCGCGTTTTGTTTTATTCTCTGGCACCTCGAGTTTGAAAATTTGTCATTTCACTTATGCTGGAAGCCTTGACAATGACATCAAAGAATTTAAATGATCTATGACAGAAAAATGAATTTTATTTCTGATGGAAAAAAAAATCCAATCTAACTTCTTACCATATCAACCATTTATTTCCCCCACAAAACTCAATTTGACCCCAATGGATACAACAATTTTCTTTTCTAACTCCTTTATCATTTTCGTCAAGGCATCCAATCATGGCTGGAGTGTTGATTCTGCAAAAGTTCAATGAAGTCGAATTTCCAAATGGCAAATACAAGAGCAAATCATCCCCTCTTCTCACTTCGAACATTCCTTATTTGTCATCTTTTACACTTCTATAGCTTTGAAGAAAGGTCAACAAATTCTCCACATACCTATCTTGTCTACCCTCATCACAAAACATGCCCTTCATTTCCTTAATTTTGTCTCTATAAATTTTCCCCCCCTCCTCAAACATCACCAACTTTAGTGACTCGGCCACCGAGTCTCTCGTAAACGACCCGTCCGAGTCATCTCTAGGAATGGGATACCCCACCTTTTTCTCCTCCAAAACCCTCGCATTTATCCCTTGATCAGCAAGAAAGGTCAGCAAAATAAGAGGCTTCTCAAACTGTACAGCCTCCACAACAGAACTCCAACCTGAGTGAGTCAAGAACCCGCCCACCGACTCGTGACTCAATATCTTCAGCTGAGGTGCCCAACTTGTGCAAACCACCCCACGATCCTTAGTCCGATTCTCAAACCCTTCAGGCAGCAAAATCACTTCAGTATCTTCACCTCCACGTTTCTTCCTTAAAACCCAGAAAAATGGCAAGCCAGACAACTCCAAACCCAGGGAAATCTCATTGAGTTCAGCTTGACTTGGTTTCGCCTCGCTCCCGAAAGCTACATAAACAACTGAGCCTTTTGCTTGCTTGTCGAGCCACTCTTTCATAAACCTCCATGCTTCATCTTTCTCCTCATCTCCATCATCATTATTTCCAGTAGTGGGCAATTGACCTACTGGAACTACTGGCTTTTGGTAAATTTCCTCCAAAACTTTTAACCATTTTGGTTCAAATTCGGAACAACTTCTTACAGCCAATACATCACAATTTTCAATTGCAGCTCCCACACGCCAAATGTCAGAAATATTCTCTTCATCGCCTTCTATGCTATCAAATATTCGAAGAATCTCAAACAACTTGAAAGCAACGTTCGTCTCAAAAGGAACCCATTTTGGTTTGACAATGAAGTCTTCGGCCGTTTTTCTGCCATCTTCATCGCCCTTCAAAACTTCCGTCGGCCCCAAGAATCCCAAAAACGCTGCCGTAAAGATACTGAAATAGGCTGTATGGATATTCAGCTTAGATGCAATAGAGGGTATCCAATAAGAAGGAAAATCGTAGAGAATCCAATCAGGACAAGTTCGTTGAAGAAATTCAGTTATGGGCTGTTGGAGGGCGTCACAGGCTAGTTTGAGGTACTTGACTTTATTGTAGGGTAGATCAATTGTGGCTTCTGCATTTTCAGGGAGATTTTCAATAAGGGGTAAGGGAATTTTGACAAATTTTAGATGATGGGCTAGATTTGGAGGTTGTTTTGGGAGACGATCGATGTTTCTTGGGGTGGAAACAAAGGAAACTTTGTGACCCTTTTTAGCTATAAGCTTGGAGAGCTCTAAATATGGGATTATATGGCCAAATGCTAGCCATGGAAACATTACTATGTGCACCTTTCTTTCGTCCGCCATGAATGGGAAACTTTTACTGGTTAAAGTTGATTCGGCGTTGGTGATTTTATAGCAGAATTCGCAAGCATTTAACTGTTCAAACCTTGAAAAAATCAATTGAATACAATGAACAGTATTTGCTAAGGTGATATATGTTTTTTTTTGTTGGACTTGTGTGAGCCAGCCTATTTGTGCGCCAATCTATAACACAAGCTAACAAGACTGAGGGTTTTTAAGTGGGAAAACAAGTAGCAGCCGCCAGTAGCTTTCTTCTTGGTGCGTGAAAATCGAAGAGAGAGAAAGGAAAAAGAGAGGAGTTTTTGGAGAAAAACGGAAAAGAGAGAAAAAACAAGTAGCAGCCGCCAGTAGCTTTCTTCTTGGTGTGAGAAAAAAGTCAGCCGCACTTTTTGCTGGCTTGGAGGAAAAACGACAAGAGAGAAAGAGAAAAAAGGTGAGAGAGAGAAACGTCGAATTCTTGATTGGAGGATGATTTGAAATTCGATTGAAATGAAATTTTATTCACGTGATCTTCTCGTCGGACTCACCTCATCTATTCATTCAAATTTCAAATTTTCTTTTTGTTTGGTAATACTTTTCTGAATTCACTTATTCGACAGTTGTAGTTTTTTAGGGGTGATTTTATAGCAATTTCGTTTGGTTGATATTGGTGATATTATTGTCATCTGAATATTTCGGGTAGACCTGTGTATTCCCATTATTATGATAGTGGAGATTTTTTTGACTAGATTAGGTCCCATAATTTTTCCCAATTTGGATTTTTCACGTAAAAATCTTGTTGTCCTGTGCCATTTACTTTTCTTGCATTTTATTATTATTATTGGCATTGCTATTTGGTGATTCGATTTATTCCTAATTTAACTGGTATTTGGAAAAAGATAAATTTGTCCTAAGCTAACTTTGATATTATGTGTTTGCACTAGTATCCCTTTCCCAATACTTTTTTATGATTGAAAGCAGAGATGTAGACATTGACCAACATAAATGCATCAAGTCGTTTTCACAACAATTCGTAGTGTTTGGATTGTAAATTATTTGAAATAATTTTGTGAAAAAGTATTGTAACACTTTTTTAATATGATGTACGTGAGATAAAAAGGTGATTGAAAAATATGTTGATAATGCAAGCAAATTAATGTGCGTAAATAAGGTATAAATAAAGTAAAATAATTCACAATCCAAACAGTTGTGCAGTATCCGTTGCTCCACTGATTTTCTCCATAAAATTTATTATACCTTCTTACGTGTGTCTTTGGTTTTGTGGCACGATAAATTCAATCTCATTAGGTGCTCATGCATTACATTCGCCACACGATGGTGTCACGATCCACAGCAAAGTTTGTTGAAATGATAGAACCATCTCTTTCTAAGTATAAATTGTACTTGAACTCGAGAAAGGGCAAATTTAGTATTTTGTATAAAAATGTCTTTGAAAATTTAAAAAAAAAAACTTAAGAACAATAAATAAATAATAAATAAGTGCTAACTCAGTAGATAATTTAGCTTTTCTTTAATGCTCGAGGTAAATACTTGTGTGTTTAACGAGTAGGATGCTCCTCGAATGTATATATGGCCTGCTATTTCACCAGGCATCAGCCAACGAAGTCTTCTTTTTTTTTTTTTTTTGGGTTTCAATTGAGCTCCACTGTTGGTTTTTCTTAAAGGAACGACTCATGCGGCAGATTTCTATTTGCCACTTTTTGATTGTGCAAATAATCAAATTATGGAACTGAAATATGAGGGGTTACATAAACCAAATTCTCCAATTAATGGAATGCATTTGATGACTGTATATTTAGGGTGTGTTTAGATTGCAATTTTTATTTTTCTACGTTTTCGTGGATATATTTTTTATTCACCTATTTTACCTCATAAATATCAAATTGTTACAGTAATTTTCTACAAAAAATCTAGAAAAATGCAATCCAAACAAAGCCTTAGGAATTGCTACAAGCACTTGTGAGTAATATGATTAGGCAAGTCTCTTGTAAATGGCCTCAATATGAATATGATTTTTTCCAAAAAAAAAAAAAAAAAAAAACTTTTGCTAAACATCTAGCAAACTTTTCCATCAAGTCGCATCATTTGATTGCCATAAACCAACTGAAACAGCTCCCACTGCTTCTATTGACAGTGCATAAAGAAACTGCTAGTAGCAATTAGAATTTGAAGCACCCTAGTAATCTATGCAAGATTAGTCTGGATCTAACACTAAGAACTTTTTACTTTCCAACTAAAAAGACTTGTCCCTTATTCTATTGTAGTATTCTGTGATAAGATGTTTGTCTTGTGCACAACAAATGTATACACGTTTAGGTCTGACCTTATTTATATTCACGCAGATTGATGGAGTCAGTATTCAAGGTTATTGAATGCCTTCTTCCACTTGTCACTTTTTCTCCCAAGTACCCACGACTCCAGAATCTAAAGAGCTTATAGAAAATTTCCCGTTTCAAATGCACTTGTTTTTGTGGACACAGAAATCTGCCACAGATTTTCTGCCCTGTTCGGCACGCTTCAGCACTCCCACAGGTCCATTCTGGAGTAGGCAGTTAAGATAACAAGTACAGATATACAACAGAGGTAGCCAGTAAAGAAGCAAATTCACACAGTACTCAATTGGATGTAGACCTTTTAAGTTTTAAGAAAGACCATCATAGGCTAACTTGAGGTACATTATTTTCTTATAAGAAAGCATGAAATTTTGCCTCTGCATTTTCAAGCTGAAAATCAAGATTGGGCGAAAAAAGTTTCACAAAGCTCAAAAAAGAATCAGCCAGAGTTGGATGTGGTATAGGGAGGCAGTTACTAGCTATTTCTAGCAGTGAAACAAGGAAAAATTTATGAACCTTCTTAGGGATGTGCTTTCGGCAAGCTCTAGAAAAGGGGATCATCATATGGCCCAATGCTAGCTATGGAAAGTAAAAGTTGGTGGATAAATATCTAGAGCCCCTTGCTGTGTATATTAGTCAGTAGGGAGACAGAAAAATGAAAATCAACGGTATCAAAACCAGAAGATTCACTCCTATGAGCAATATTAGCCTTCTCCTTTTTGACTATTGCTATGCAGGCATTCAGACTATGCAACTTAAGAATCCGGATGACCAGAAGTCGTGCTCTAATGATATGAATGAAAACAAGCAACTAAATTTGAAGGGGTAAATGAAATGCAGTTATTTTGAGTGCATCCCCAGTACAAATATCAACGAAAAATCAAGAATAGCAAGAACATCGATAGCTCCTGTTCTGACTGCAGTTTACACTAGTGTAGGCAAACCCTTCTATAAGTCACCTCACCTTTAGCCTTCACAACTTTAGGCCATTGATTAGGTCTTGCTAACGTGCCTGTACTTTTTTACTAGGAATTTCTGATTTCACCCGGCGTAAACATTCTGAGAAATAAATGGAAGGTAATTCTTCACTTTTGGGCCTTACAAAACAAATCTTCATTTTGTTGTTTAATAGATAAACCAACACATAGATAACTAAATATATGACACAACTTTCAAGTTTATTGCAAAGGGACCTTAATTTTCCACAATTAACTTTCAATATCAACATCAAATATTCGATGCTGTCTATTAATCGCCCTTGAAAAGAACCTAGCTCTGTACACTGATTTCATTTTGCACACAATGCATGAGTACATAATCATATACTAAGTGCGTCACTGTGAAACAACAGAAACTCATGAGGTCTTCCCTTCGACAAACTATCAAAGAAAGATTAAATGCCTTTGTTTAAAACATGAATAACAAAATCATCAAGAATAAAGCGAAATGCAGCAATCAGACTTAATAAGCAGAAATAAATAGTGCTGAGATAAAATGTCCGAGCAACAAAATCAAGAACATAGTATTACATAGAAAGGAATAGATTTCAACATTGGAAACTTTTCAAGATATTTTCCAGTCTAAGAAGTTTACCAAATAAAAATAGCAGACAAAGAACTATCAGTCTCATTCAGCAAGTAGTGTATACTGAAGGCAAGAGGTCATGTAGAAATTAATGTGCTCCATAAGTATTTTTCAAAAGTAGATCTCCAAAATCGGTTGCTTCTTTTCCGTGTTTCTGTATGGTAATTTTCAGAATGCACTCTTATCTTTTCGAAATCCTGAGGGCCCTGCCCTTCAGTCTTTGAATAGTTCTTGGATTCATGGAGGCATGCGCATACAAAGCTTCCACAATGTGATAATCCATTTATCACTCTCATCAGGCCTCATTAAGAATGTATACCCAGTTAGTCACCCAAGCAAAAAGGATTGTGGAAAGCTCAATACACTGTATATCATACTATCAATTAATTGGAGGAATATAAAGCTGAAAATGGTTGTTGCCAACTAACTGAAATATACATCATTCATTCACCACATGATGGTTAATTTATACATTCATCTAGACAAATTTTACATAAACAGACGCTTATTGACAGAAAGATATAGCTTGTACCTTGTAAAATTTGCATTGAGTTGATACTTTAAAAGCTGGTCTTTGGATTCTGAAGCAAAATAAGCTCTTGTATCCCTGTTGACCTCTTTGCATATCATTACGGGACAAAAGAGGCATCCCTTCTGAGATACCAATATCGTCTACTGTAACAATAAAAACCAACAGTCAGATGAGAGTGATAGCTTCAAATAATTCTCTAAATAATAGTTAGTTTCTAGCCCAGGCTGCTACTTTGAAGTCCTAGTCAATTCTTTACCTACTATTGATGCAATTAGATCCACTTTCAGAACTTGCAAAATTTCCATTGACTCTCAAACAAATCTTCCAAATATATGTTTTAGATTCCTCTAAAATAATTTAGCTACTGGTCCTTTGATACTAGAGACGTTACGTAGATAATACCGTATTTACTTCATCAGTCACGACACATTTCCCATTAGTGCCAAACGATGATACTCAGATATATAAGATACAACGACATCCACCCTGCTTGACTCTTAAAATAATCATGTTACCCCAACTTCAGATAATCATGGTTAGCTAAATTGAGAATCTTTGTTTGCTCTTTTTCTATGATAAGTATTAAGTAGCCAAGATAATACAAATTTAGATGGTTGTGAGATTAAATGGCTCTAACACAGATCAATAAATAGTAAACTCACATTTGGCGAACCATCGCCAGAACTCAAATACCAAAGCGACTATAACTTAATCCATAATTACACAATGTAGGAATTCAGAACACGTTTGTTTGGTTACCAAAATTTGCAAATAAAATTTTCAAATTTTATTCTGTTTGTATCATAAACACAATTTTCAATTAATTTTTTATCTCGTATACATCATATTACAAAAAGTGCCACGGTGTTCTTCCAAATAATTTTTTTCCAAACAATCCCCTATCCTAGTCTTAAAAATTAGATTCTTCCTAGTCTTATCAAAGAGGAAGAACTACTACATTTTTCTTATTTCCTTCATTATCTCAGGAGGATGTATAGCTGACGACAGACCAAACAACTGAATTT